TCTCACAACGAGCATTCGTCTTAATTATTCTCGACAGCCTTAAGTAAAATAATATTAATATTAAAAGCTATTACATGATCATTTTGTTAAATTGATCGTATAGTCGCGAAAAGACCTGCATCATGTCCTTTTCACTCTTATGATTAATATTGATTCCGCCCAAGTCGCCAAATACAGACTTGGAAAATTGCTGTTTGTACTAGAAATAAAGAAACGGACAATCGCTATAGTTATAAAGAGATGATAGGCAGGATGTTGGCAGGATATCAGAGCTTACGCTTTTCGACTGTCTGTCAAAAATGCATTGAGATTGTTGATAAGATTTGTTGGAGTTGCCGCTGGTCTCCAGATGATTCTCCAATGAAAATTGCTTTTTCCGTTTATCTGGGTTTTTCGTACGAGCCTCGGAAAACACCGAATGAGTTTCCTATGGATAGTACAACAATTAACTATTCACGCTACATGTGGTGAAAATGTTTATTTATCATAAAATCAATTCGTATTACTCGATATCTTTTATATTGGCAATAAAACGTGCGATTCTCTTCGTTAAATATTTATTGAATACAACATCTCGGTACACATTAATGGATAAATTTCTTTAAAGAATTAATGTCAAAATTACTAAACATTTTATATAGGCTTCATACGTGTATATATATATATATATATTTTTTTTTTGCCTTTACTAAAATGCACAAATAAAATTGAGAAATAACATTAATAATAATAATAATTGAGTATTACGGTAAATCCAATGGGTTATTAATTCCAAATTTTTAATCGAAGTGGGAATTAATGATTTCTGATAAACTAAATTAATAGCAAGCATAAAGATTTTGAATTTCAGAATGAGAATCATAAATTGTAATTTGCTTTAAAAAAATTTACCCAATGATATATATGTAGTGGTTGTGAAAAATTCCACGTTCTCTGTAAAAAATTTTACCAATTAAGATATTAATTTGGTGAAAGAGACAAATATTTTTTTAATTTTCTTTACAATCGAACACATAGTTTTCCCGATACGAAGCATATATACCAAATCTAACGATGAAACTTGTAAAATACACGTAACGTAAAGTTATATAAAAAAAAAAAAAAAAAAAAAAAAAAAAAAAAAAAAATACACACAAATTAAAATCACACAGTATTAATTGGCATTTGTTATAATTGTACGCGCAATTGTATAATATAATTATGCCGCGTTAAGTATATAAGGAATACGTATAGAGTTGAAATATGAAAAGTTTATTTTGTTTTCTCAGCTACGAAATACCCTTACATTATGATATTGTTAATTTTTTTTATTTTTTTTCTTTCAACGCTATTCATTCGTTATGTAGTCCTTATTATTTATAAATAATTATTTATTTATCATTTATTTATGTAATGATATACGATATGTATTATCATCGTTAACAAGTGATATTTTCGTAAATTTAAAAAATGATAATACTCGACTTCTTTTGCAAAAACGACATTAACATTCAGTCAAGAAACGACGTTGATTATGTTGATTCGATGAGCAATCGATTATATTGATAAGCATTATAAAATAGTAACTTTTAACATATTATCTAATTACCTTGTATTTAATCGTAGTATAAATTAAAGTGTAATTAATTGTACATAAAAGGTAGTGTTTATATATAAATATTTAAATATACGACTTCGCGTCTACCATACTATGCTATCGTTTTTACTAAACGTAAATATTGAGTTCTTTTCTTTTTTTTTATGTTTCTCCCCCCCCCCCCATTTTATCTCGTCGCGCGATTTAAATAAATGTAAACATTTATAAGTATAAGAAGTGAGAGAAAACTTTGAAAGCCTTGAATCGTGTGCTTGAATGCCAAATGCTTGTCTCGTTTAATGTAAGATAAGAAAAGAGAAAGTGCGAACGTTTAAGAGCCAGTAATAAAAATACAATGTTATACCTCATCCTCTTCGTAAAGTGGTTCGCAAGTGAAGGTTTGCTTAAATGGGACTTGACTCGACGTTGTCAAATTAGTGGTGGGTAATTGATCGCAGGATACCGAGCCAACGCCGTTTTTATATCGTAAGAAGTTCCTTTGGCTCTGTGTATTATCGTTAGAATTGAAGGCTCGAGAGGATTTCGCAAACTCGTGACTTATGCAATCGAAAAGAGTGGCTACTGGTTTCAGGCCTCTATTCACATTGCGTATTAGCAAAGGACTTATTCCAGGTATCGCCGGCTGCTTTGTTTTTATGATGCTTAGAATCTAAAATTATTGGCCAACAGAGATGTTTTAGGGAGACAAAGGCTTAATCGAAAAATCATAAATGCCGATATTGAAGTTAAATTGAATGATAAGCTCAAGATATTGCGAGCAGCGCGAGGATAAGAATTTAATAAGGATTAACCTGCTGAATATTTAATCCGAGATTGTGACTAGGAGAAATCGAAGTCCCAACAACGAAAGGAATATTACAAATATTAAAGCGATTGTAATATTGTCGCTCCACGCGCTTCATTTTCGATGACATCGTCGGCATTTCATAATTTCTTTGATAAAACGAATCGTAGTAGCCCGGCTGATAATACGAGGAGCCTTCCTGCAACTGGGCCTGCTCCTGCACATTTTTACCTAATTTCTCATTATTTGGCCTGGAATTAGATTAATACCTATCAAAATGACTAGTATAATGTCAATGCCATTGCCAATGTAATGCTTAATAATGCTTTCGTACGCTTCGTTGACGCGCAGTAAATTTTCCGTACTTTTCTCCTTGAATGAATCGTCATTTTTCTTACATTCATTGTTCTCCATAATCTCGGGTACTTCATTATCAAGCTGAGATATTTGTACAGGTTTGCTTTTCGACTGTCTGGAAACGACAGAAAAACTTCCATTTTTTAGAGCAGCATTATGATAAATTTCAACGAACTCTTTAGAATTCGTTTGGTGAGTTTCACGCGATTCTAAAGCATTAATACGTTTTCGATATTGTGGTTTTTGTAAAACGGATATTGTGTCGAGACCTAAAAATCATAAACTTTAAAGTACATTTACTTTATATTTGAATAGCTGGCAAACGAATTAATCATTGATAAGTTTTCTAAATTTATTATCGCACATTTCGTACACTTGTATAAAAAAAAAAAAAAAAAATAAAAAAAAAATAAAATTTAAAATTCTACTGATTAAATGGCTTTTATTATTTTTTTTTTCTTTCCATAAGATTCAAGAAGTAAAATTAATTTTTCGTTCACAGCTGGCAGAATGTAAAATTTTACAAGCGCTGAACAAAATTCAAAATCATTTCAGATTTCAAAATTATTAATTATTATTATTATTTCTATATATATATATATATATATATATATATTTAAATAATATACGTTAAATGAATATTATTTTCTTCGATTTCGAATACATGGGATTATGCACTATTTTAATTTTCTACGTGAAAATGATTACTTTTTTGTTTCTTAAATTTTCTCCGATCGGTTTTTTTATCTGAAATATTAGTTTCCCTCGTAGTTACAGTACTTTTAGAATTAGACGTTTTTAATCGTCCATGAAACTTTTTTCTTTTCCTTTTTCCTATATTAATAAATAATGCTTTCACAGATTCGTCAATTGTACTTCGGGAAATTTTCTTTTTTAATTTCCAAACTTTTTTCCCATGCTTATATTTTGACTTTATATTCTCAAGGCTTTTTTCCACGTCCAGCTGAATGTTTGCAATGTTCGAATTATGACTTTGCACGTCATCGGTTTGCGATCTGGGTGTTAATACTATTTGGACCTGATTTTCCTCGCCGTCATTATTTAATAAATTTTCACCTTTATTTTCATCGTAATAACCCGTATTTTTTGTTTCATTTTTTTCAATATCTGATAACATTTTATAATTACTAAATGATGAACTGTATCGTTTTAGAAAACTATCTGTATTTGCATTATAATTTTTACCATAGCCAAGAGATTTTATAATATCCCATTTCATTCTAACCGAGTCATGATTCGTTTCGGCAGTCTGAATATTTTCATCAAGTTCTAAAAATAAATGTAAAACAAAATTAGCCCTATTATCAGCAATTAAATAATATTATAAATGTCTTATACACCATATGTATTGTAAACAATTTACCTAGTAAATTGACGATTTGATTATTCTGCACAAGTAATTTTATTTTTTTTTTTTTTTTTTTTTTTTTTAACGATACATTTTCAATCATTTTAATTCATGAATAAATAACTTAAATCATCTTATTGTTAATACAAGAAATATATTCTTGTCCAATCTTAATGCAATTTTGATATTTACCTGAAAATTTTATTTTCTTCTCGTGATCGATTAATTCCATAATGAGACGCACAATAATTTATCATTTATAAAACTTCATAATTTTTACTCCCATTCAAAGATTCTTACATTTCATTAAGAAATTGTAAGAGTAAATTTTATAAGAAAAATTAATAATAAATGTATTGAATGTTGGAAAGAAACATCGGAAGTTATTTACGAACGAAATTAGTTGCAGTTGACAGTTTTAATGCCTACTTTGTTTTTTACAATAAGAGTCTTTAATTAATTGCATTTTGTAATTTTACTAAAGGATGAAATCATTTATAGAGACGAATAGAATAAAAGATGTAAATAACTTGGATTTTTAGATTTTTATTAAATTCTTCAAAAATTAGAAAAATGTTTTGTTAATTGTTTATATACTTTGATTTGTTTTTATATAAATCGATTATTATACGCCTCGAATAAATACTCCTGAGACGTCAAAGTATTGCGTGAAACAAAATAACTTAACGACGAACCAAATTCGTTTTATTATAACGACTAAAATATTTCATTGTAAATACAATTCATTTTAATTATACATTTAATATATTCAACTTAATGCGACATTTATACAATTTACGCACTCAAGACTACGCGTAACTTATAATTCGATAAAAAATATTTTAATAATAAAAATTACAATTTAATTATTAGTATATTTTAATAATATTCTCTTGGGTATTAATTAATTTAAAGAAACTGCATCTAATGCATTGAATGAACTTTTGGCTTAATCATTCAATACATATGAATTTTTATAATTAAATAATTTAATTATATAATTTAATATAATTAATTTTTTATCGAATGCCGATGTTATAAAATTTTTAACGAGTTTTCCAGCTAATTATTAATTTTTAAGTACTAAAATAATTTCACTAGCATTCTGATTTATAAGTTATCGTCACAGAGCCTCAAGATGCTGAAAATAATATTTATCAAGTACAATATCGATCAATAATAACAATCGCTATAATATTCATTTAAAGATTTTTATGAACTAAGAACACGCGTATTCGTGATAATAATATGAAAATCACATTTTATCAATTGATAAGATTTGTTTTTTCTAAGCAGTGTTATATTTTAGTATGTATTTGATTTTAGTTTACGTATTATAATCAGTAAAAAGATAAATATATTGATATTTACCTTTTTTACTTTGAGTCTTCACGATTCATTTCAGTGATTATTTTACAATTCATATTTTATGACAATCTAACATATTACATTATCCTAAAAAATCTTACATTATAGCTATAATTTTAATAAGCTATAAATTACATTTATTTTTAATTAACAAAAATATGCCAGTTAATTATAGCCAATAGATAAGTCCGGAAAGGTTAAGTAATATACTGACTGGTTCTAAGAAAATAATGATTTAGTGAGTTTTTTTTTTTTTTTTTTTTTTTTTTTTTTTTTTTTTTTTTTTTTTTTTTTTAAACTGTACAGAGAAAACTTCGGCAAATAATAAATTCTATTATATAAATGTATTTAAATTTTGTACATAGTCAGATTATTTATAACCATTATTTACGCACTACTACTCATTTATATATATGAACATACATTCGACATGTTTATTAATAATCATTCGATAAAAAGTATAATCAACATTTTTGTAAAAGCTTTATATTTTTACGATAAATATTTATTCGACGTTAAATATCTAATATATGCACTTTTATAGTTAACAATCAAATTAATAATTTCAGCAATATTTAAGCATATGAAAATAGGACAAATATTAAAAAATTGTAACATTTAATTTAAATATCAATTACATTTTCTATTCTATTATTTAGATTATTGATTAAAAACTTTTCTTTAATTTTACTATTTTCTCTATGAACATTAAATTAAAATCAATAATTGAATTGTTGAAATAAAAAAAAAAAAAAAAAAAAAGAAGAAAAAATTTTGTTTGTTATGTAACTATAAATGACTAGTGAACTATTTCATTAAACGATTTAAACTTACTATTGTATAATTATAATTTTTTAAGATACGGTAAAAATATTTATGAAATATTTTATCGTTGAAATGACATTTTGGAACTCTGTGAGAGATGTAATTTTATATTTATAATAATGTATAAAATAATGTAAAAAAAAAAAATATTTAAAAGTTTATGAGCACGAATATAAAGATATTTTTATAATATTTCACAGTATATTATTGATTGGTTTTTTTTTGATAATATTATAAAATCTATTGTGTGAAAAAAAATTTTATTTATATAGATATTTAGAAATATGTTGATATAACATAGTCAAGGAATTGCAATTCGACACGACACACTTATTAAATATTCCAATAATGTCATTTTACATTTTACATATAATAATCTTTATATATGCATACGAAATCATAAATCGTTTGGATAATATCGCATACGAAATCAATTTCTATTTTAAATAAATGTTTTAAATACTTTTAACAAAAGTATGATCAGTTTATAACTTTGTAATGCATGTGCTGTAGGAATAATGACAAAATTTATTTTTAACTTTATGAGCATTCAAACTTTTCAACTAACAAAATAATCAATTGGTAGTTGATTAACCCATTTTTTTAAATAATTTCTAGATGAATAATAAAATGCCCAAAAGAAATTAATTGAAATACAGATAATTAATGTTTATAAAATTAAATGTAATTGTGTAAATTATTGAAACATTATGAATTTCTATATAAAATGTTTTATTTAGATATGAAAAACAATATAAAATGATTATAATTATTAAGCTGTCAAAAATAGAATGTAAGCAGTCGAAATTCGTTTCGTCAACGGATAAAATTAGGCTGCCCCAGTGATCGCTTTCTTCAATGACTTCAACATTTTTAAAGTCTAATTGAATGTATTGCAGATATAATGACGATTGGGTATTTATGGGTGATGGGGGATTGGGAAGGGGGATGGGGATGGAGGGGGTGGAGAGACGTAAATCTATTAATTTATGAATTTTTAAAATTTATTTATCATCTTCGCTACATAAGTAAGATATTTTTAGCTTAGTGTCAGAATTTATAGAAAACTACATGTAGCGCTTAGTATTGCAATGAAACAACATTCTGAATTTAATGTTTAAATTAATTATATTTATACATACGTGGAGAATAATACTATAGTTTCTACAATAAATTATAAAACTTCAAATGTACCTGAATATTTATCTCTTCACTTATCTGGTGCTTATAATTATATCTGAGACTAAATTCACAACAAAAAAAAAATATATATATATATATATATTTTTTTTTTTCGGCCATAAACAATAATATCTTAATATTTCTCATAAATTGATTTACACGGCAGTAGTCATTGTTCGTACTTAAAACTTTTCACATTCAAGTGCATTGAATGAATATGCATACGGCAATACTGCCAGACGATTCGTAAAGCTGTGACGCTGCAAAATATGCCATTTCCAATCACACTTATATATTAAAAAAAGAGTTCAGCACTTTTTACAAGCTGAGTCATCATCAAATATACAACATCTTTATGAGAAAATGATGTGTTTCTTAAATTGTTCTCAACAAACGTATTATGATAGAGAGGAATGATATTTTTAATGCGGATAAATATGGAGTACAATAATTTTTTACATGAGTTGTATTTAAATGTTCATATTAAAAACTTACTATAACAAATTGCAATATGAAACGAAAGCATTCATATATTATATTTATATAAAATACTTAAATATAATGATTATTTGTTAATATTTATTGTTAATTTTTAATTTTAATAATCCATGTTGCCAACGAGGAATACAATACCGCTGATATTTAATTATAATATAGACAAATTTCCATTTTCATTTGAATGTACTTTTATAAACAATAATAAGTTTCAATGTGATTACTCATTATATATTATAATTATAAATAAGGAAAAGAATATAGTTTCTAATTTTAAAATAAAATTTAAGCTTTGTAAAAATATTTGTATAATAATAACATAGATTTTACATTTAAAAAAAAAAAAAAACACACACACACACACACACACACATGTTTAAAACGTTTAAAAAATAATACCAGTATTTGTTAATAAAATATTTTATTTGATCATGGGTTAGTGATTTATTAAATAAGATCAAATTAAAAATTTTCAAATGAAATATATTTTGTACGAACCGCAACGAAAGGTAAAATTTGAAAATATATAAGAAAGAAAATTCATACATATTATGATTCGTGGTATTTATTGCTTCAAAATAACTTTTTTTTTAATTTCTTCATATTTTATTCAATTATTGAAATATGAAAATACTCGCATATGCCACAGGATTACAAAAAAATATCAATCGATTTAAATTTACCACATGTAATTATGCAACATTTAATTAGTTTTGAACTGCCTGTCGCAAAATCTTAAACCCCAATACTTCCAATCACAGATATTTCATATGATTAATTTTATCGATAAATCCATCATCGTGTATTACTACTTTTAGAATAAGACATCGATTTCTTATTAATATCATTATACTTTAAATAGATCTTTAAGTATATGAGAAATTAATAACAGTTTGTGGCATTACATAAAACGCGATTAGTAGAATGTTTTAAACGGATAATTGGAAGTCTGATAAAACGATTCATTCTAATTTTCAAAGTCCAATAGCGCATTGAGCACGACGAATGTTATTTATCTTAAAAATTAATTGAAAAGTAACATATTCACAAATTTATAAAATTTTCATATAAACTTAATATAGCGCATAAGTAGTTATCAATTTTTTCATTCATACATTATAAGATTACAAATAATATTTACAAATTGATACGGTCAATTTATGATATTTCATTGTCATTAAAAATATTTCTTTAATATGATACGAATATCAAAGTACAATCTTTTTTAGACATTCTGATTAGGAATCTATAATATATATATATATATATATATTATTGGTCGGAGCTTATAAATTATCATTTGACTTTAGATTTAGGAAAATTTAAAAAATGTAAGAATAATAATAGATACATCGAATTATATTTTAATTCAAAAGTTATAAGTTCATAGTACCATAACTAAAATGCAAAAATTCATGATATCCATCTAAATTTGTATTCGCATTAAATATTTATGGTTTAAAGATATTTCTTATTAAATTAAAAATACAAAAGGTAATATAAAATAATATGAAATAATTTTATGTTAAACTATTTATAATATGTCGAAATAATATTGGGAAAATTTTAGAGAGATCAATTATAATTGAGTATTATTGATTATGTAAGTATTAAGATGTCTTATTTTTAATGAAAATATAATTATATTGTCAAATACATTAGATTATACTTTAACGAAATATGTATTTTTTTTTAATACTGCAATATTTTTGAATTTCGTTCATAAATTGGTCATTTTAATATTGAAATATCATTATGCAGAATTTAACTCATTTTAAATTCGAAATTTTGTCATAAAAGTTTGTATAAAGCTCACGTATGAGCATATAATATTAGAAAACATAAATTATTAAATTATAAATAAAATACTGTTGATAATACTTAGCTAATAGGATAAATGAAAAATACTGACAAATCAAGCCTTTGCAAGGTAAATTGAAATCTCTTACTTATTGAAGTAACTTACCAAGCTCTAAATACCTTAAAATTCTCAATGATTTTACAAATTATATTCCATATTATTACTCTAATCCGGAAAGAAAAATCTGTCATTATTGCTTTTCGACTCACCACATAAGGAAGAAATCTTTTTCTTTCCTCTTTTTTGTTGTTGTTTTTTGTTTTTTTGTTTTTGTTTTTTTTTTTTTTGTTTTTTACATAAAAAATTAGCTCGTGCATGTAATATGAAATTAAAAAAATTAATATTTGTCCATTTTACGTACAATAAGTGCTGAGTAGTTTTGTAGATTTTTTTTTTTTATTGAGCGTAACCTTGCTCTTGTTGACTCCCACAAATAAACTAAGCAAGAAGAGCTCAAGAGAAAGAATGAAGCTAATGTCTGTAAAACCGAGAGGCATACTAGTTCGCAACGTACATTCGTATTGAAATATTTAACTTTAAAAATTACGAAAGCTTTCTACTGTCAAAGAAACGAATATTTTCAACGTGAAAACTTAGTCAGATAGACATCTTAAAGCACAATTGTGGAAAAAAATAATATCGTCGTTACATTCGTATAAATTTAATTACTTTTTAATTTCACGAGCATATTTATTTATGTACATTATTGTTTATTGTATGTGTTATAATAAATATTAATTAATTGTATGTGGAAGTTACGATGATAAAAGTTTGTTTATTTTCAGAAATTTGGATGACATTAAAAAGAGAAAAATAATTGAAATAGAAATCAATTACATCGATATTACAAGGCAATTTGTACGAATTGTAACTCAATAATATATCTATAATTATTATTATTTCGCATAGCACTAGTCTTAAATTTATTTAAATCATAATCACGATAAAAGTTTCACTGAGAAGAAAGGGTAAGGTGAAATTATAAGCCAATGGAATTACTGTCAACTGGCTATTAGATCATTATAAAAGGCTGAAACATAAGACGCCAATGTGATATTCATAATTTTAAGATAAAATAATACAAAGGCAAAAAAAAAAAAAAAAAAAAAAAAAAAAAAAAAACGAAAAATTACAAATATTATCTTTTATCGGTAGAGTTCTACTGCTTACAAAGCCTCGTCTCATGGTCAGTTTAGCGTTATTGCAAAATATTCTACACTTATCTAGATGAAGATAACTGCTTCAATAGAATAGCCTTCGCTCGGTGCAAAAACTTTTTTTAACACATAAATATTTGAATATTAATAGCAAACGAGATCACCTAACAGCTGTAACGGTCTGTTAACTAACAAAGGATGCAGAGAGTCTGTTATCAAATTGCTCAATAAATGATCCAGTAGCAGCCAATATCATTTAATTCTCAATGCCGGCATATCTCCTCTTATCATAATTTTCTCTAATTTCTAATAATTTATCAATATTTCGTATTATCAATTTCTATATTTACATTCGACACGTATGGATGCTGACATTGAAATATCAATGTCTAGTTTCCTCAAACTCTTTAATAACAAATATCATTTACTCGATGCATTTCCAAGTAAATACAAGCGATTATGGATATAATAATTATTATTATTGTATTTCCATTTACGATATGGTCATTAATACATTAAGAAATTTTTCAACAATATAACAACAATTTGTTCTTAATAATTGAAAATATTTCTCAAAGAGGAAAAATAAATTTACGCATCAACAGATATAAATTTATAACTTGTCTACTATACGTTCAAGTGCATTATTTTTCAAATTATAATTTGTTTTCCTATCGCATTATTAATAAGCTCTTTATTTTATTGCCATTTATTGATTTTTACATGAAAATTATTAGCTTTTCATGTACTGTTTCATTTCATTTATTTCATTTAAAATGTTAAACGATATTATCACCATCGTTCGAAAATTTTTTTCTCGACTCATCTCCTACAACTGACTAATATGTTATTGCATTTTTGCATTATAAAGTAACTGTTGAATTGAATATTTTTAAATAAAGCGATAACCACGGTCTCTTAAAATGTAATATTTCCTGTAATTAGCATTCATTTGTAGCTTAAAATTATTGCAAATTTACATAAAGTGAAAGGTAGTAAGTAGCGTACTAGTGTTAAATTTATAATAAATATATGATCTATCGTAGATGGCTAATTATCGTAATGCATCCTAAAATTGTAATTCTGGACTCGATAAATTCTATTTATTTCTATTTATTCTATCATATTTCACGAGTATCTTAAGAGATTTGACAACGACGACTAGTGACGATGATTTACTCTTAATATTTACTCTTAATATTAAAAATAAATGAACCATTTCGAATAAAAAGCAAAATACATTCGTTCAAATTGCACGAAATCTAAGATGTGAATGGTTAAAAAAAAGAAAAATAAAAAAAAGAAAAAAAAAAGAAAAAAAAAAGAGAGAGAGAGAATGGCCTTTTTATTTATAACTTTAGGTCAAAATAACAGAGGTCAAAGAATAAAGAATTGGTAGTGAAAAATATCAACAAAAATCAAAATTTTCTAATATTTTAAAAAGTCTCTCGAACAAAAGCGAGAAAAAGAACGGAAGTGGAATAAAAGCAGAAGCAAAAAAAAAAAAGAAAGAAAAAAAATTAACAAAAAAAAAAAATGGCTGCATTACTTTGTGCAACAATTACACGGGAGACAATTGTCATGAAAAAAAAATCTACTCCGCCTCTTTACTGAAATCTAGCTATTACTTGATGAAATTGCATAAGCGTCGATGTAATTTATAAATAAATTCTATTAATCATGTAATATCATAAAAAAAAAAAACTACTCACGAGTATTGTAAACAATTAATGATAAGAACGAGAGCAATAACGGTATACAATAGACTATTGGAAAAAGGAAGGAAAAAAGAGAAGAGAAAAAAAAAGAAGAGAAAAAGAGGCGCATAGCATATTAAGCAAACACAGCGCGACTTTAATGCTCTTCGGGCTCGTTAGTCGTTACGTAAGCGTAGCATCTGAGTACGCGATGTATTTTAAAATCGTTGGTCCGTTGTAATATGTTGTTTGAGAATGAGACGCAGGTAACGGTGCGTAACGCAAAGTAAATGCGAAAATGCAAAAGTTTCTTTAAATACCAGCTCGAGCTTTTTCAGAAATTTATCGTTGAGGAATTTTTGAACGAGACCAATCAACCGAACAGCGGGCCGCCACATTACCGAGATAAGATCGATTTTCTCTCGCGAGTGAGCTGCTTTTATTACGAAATGACAATTGTCGTTTCTGGTGCAAGGATACGGCGATGAAAAAGCCGCCGGGCAAGCTCGGCAATCGCAACGTATACTAATTATAATTCAAATAAATGTTAAACGCATGCGGCTGCCAGTTACTTTAAATTACTTTAGCGGCCGCGTACCTAGTGCCGTCGACGAGTACGTGGGAGGCGGGCATTGGGCCGCGGTGTCGCCGTTAAATCCCACGATCGGCAAGTATTGGCGAGGACGGTGGCCGGGAGTCGGTGGAGGGCGGCGGGGGCGGGGGTGGCAGGATCGCGGACCTCATCGCGGGGGACGCGGTCAAAGTATCCCGACGGGGGTCAGACCGCTGACATTTCTCGCTTACGATTTGAAAGCTCGCGCGTGCGCAGTGCCGTGGGGTGGGAGCGGGCGCGCGAACCCAGTGCGCACGCTCGTGGAGACACCCGCGGCCCGTCGTGGTGTGCACCCGTACCGCGCCGTACGTCGCACGCCAGTGGGTATTGCCGCCAGACTGCCGCCAGACTGTCGCCGGACTCCCTGTTGTAAATGGTGGAGGGCTCGTTGTCATCGTCCCTTCGGTAACATCAGCAGGTACGTCTCGCGTTGCTCACTTCTCGGTTTTCCTCCTTGAAACATCCTGTCCGGGTCGTCCGAAAGCTTACGTAAAGGTGAGTCGCTGTCGTCGTCATCGTCGTCATAACTGCGGTCGCCGCCGCTGCCGACGACGCTGTTAAGTGGATAACAGCAGGGGCAGCGGTGACGGTAACGACGGTGGTGGTGGTGGTGGTGGTGGTGGTGGTGGTGGTGGTGATGGTAATGATAATGACGATGACGATGCGAATGCCGATGTCGACGATGACGACGACGAGGACGACGACGACGAGGACGACGACGAGGACGACGACGAGGATGACGACGACGACGACGACGACGACGGCCTCTCTTCGGTCTCGTCGCTCGTTTTTTCCCACAGCACTCGCCAATCCATGTATGAGACTGCCTTTGTACGTTCCTTTCCCTCTACCCTCTCCCTCCAATAATTATCCTCATCGCGATCCCTTTGCATCCCATACCATTCTCGCCATCAGCTCGTCGTCGAATGCCTCCCCAGTAACGTAACCTATTTTTTTGCTCGATTATTACGTTGGTCTTCTGCTGCGAAGCTGACATATCATTGTCGAGTCCTCATCGTTTCTTCCCGCCACCGGTGCTTCCATCGCGGTCCTAAAGCTCGCCGTAACAACCACCACTACTATCACCACCGCCACCGCCACCACCGCTTTCACCATCATCGTCATTACCATCACTATTACCACCGCAATCTCCACCTCCACTACCGCTACCACTACCACCGATGCATCTATATAAAGAGCACGGTTGTGTAATGGCCAATGCCTAAGGTATTTTCGATCCGTCGTATTTCGGTCGGTGCAGCACGCGTTCTCTCTCTCTCTCTCTGCTCCCATCTTTTTTCCGCTCGGGAGAGATTGAGCGCCCCCCGCCCATCGCCTCCGGGGTTTCCGCACCGCCACCTCGCGAGTCCGATGAGACTGGACGTCTGCGTCCCCATGTTAGCGCGCGCACATCCGCCTCGAGTGTAAACAAGCGATGCGCACGCAGCGTCGGGAGCGCGTCGATATACGTGTACGGAGTGCGGGAGAGACGTTGGATTCGGACTCGGCCGCGTGCTCCTGACCAGACGTCGGCTGCGGCTGCGGTGGTGGCGACCTGATTTTTTTCACTCGGCACTCAGCCATCCCACCGTCGCGAAATATCTCGCGTTCCCTACTCGTCTTCGAGCTGCCGATCGCCCCAGCTCTCCCTGACCCGCATGTCATCTGACATTGACATTAACTACTATTAGTTGGAAATTTTATCTGCGGCAGCAGCAGCAGCAGCAGCAGCAGCAGCAGCAACAGAGTAAGTGTGTCACGGGACATTGAGTGAGGCTGTAAGCGTAATGTGCCAACCTCCTTGTCCACGTACCTCTCCAATTATCAATTTACCCATCTACCCATCTACCCACCTTCCTTCATAACTAATTAATTCACCGCCGCCTACCAGTACCCACGTTTTTTCCTTTAGCGTCCAACACCCCGAGGGAAACACGAGCTGCCGCCACTCCTTGCACCTCTCGCTCGGCCTCACCGTCACGCGCTTTATTAGTTTACGACCTGTCATTTGCCGTAATTACTGTCAATTGATTAATATTCCTCGCACTAAGCACTCACCACTGCTGCTTCCAACAACTTCTTCTACTTCAAGTCGCCGAGCCGAGACAATCCGTGTACTTCACGGAATTTAAGACTTGGTGCGCGCGTGTAAGTGCACCCCTGCTGTTTCATCGACTTCCCTTCTCCCTTCACCCTTCTGTCGCCTATTGCCATTAGATAACAATGCTATTTTTTTCTTCTTTTTTTTTCCTTGTTTCCCCTGTTTTTTTTTTTCCTTTTAACGATATTACTACTCGCCTTTAACTCTTTCGACATAACTTTGTTTGAAAGATTTGCTCGCCTTTGCAAAACTTTTCCGCACAGTGTTTATTACAAAAGTAGCGTAATGTTGTATTAAAATTCTTACCAATGCTATTGTCTATTATTTTTGCTATTTTATTTGTAATATTATCGAGCCATCTGTATGCAGATGGCTCGATGCTGTTGCGACACACGAGCAGCGTTCCTTATCCAAAAACTTTTTTCAATTTATTCAATGTGTCTTTTGTGTCAAGGGTAGGGTGTATTGTATAAGCCAATATGATAATTCATCGCTTAAAAATACAATTGACAGCTATTTTGTAAATCCCTTGTGTAATGCTGATATTTCTCTACCGAGCGCAATGTCATTGCGACTGGTAAAGTAAAGTCCAATGCCTAATTGAGTTAGAAAAGCATTGGTAAAAAATTGTCCCCTACCGATAAATCTCAATCGCAGAGTAAATCGATCATTTATTTATTTATTCCTTGTGTAATTTTACTATGGCTCGCGTTATAATCGTGCTGATTTAATCATCGTTATAATTACTGTAGGTTAAGCCTACATACATAGTATTAAACTTACTCTTCGATTATTCCATTGTATTTTCTAACTCTACTTCCGTCTCATATCGTGACAACCAGTGGTAATAATAACGACTAATAACGCTTAATAATGTTATGTTTTGCAGGCCAAAATGTATAAGGTTCAGGTGGTGTTTAATTCCCTGACCCCGCTGGCTCCGAGGGTCTGTGGTGCCAGGAAATTTGTATCGTGGTTAGTACGAAGCGATCCCGTAACCAGAAGTAGCCAAGTTATGGTATCGGAGCCATTGAGAAGACACAACAGCCGTGTGGCTACGGAACCTTTTCTCAATGGCAGTTCCAGCTCTTACGTCGAAGAAATGTACAACGCCTGGCTACAAGATCCACACAGTGTTCACATAGTACGTATTCGTTGCAACGATTCAAGCAAACATCCTATGTTTTGCTACTAGCGCCCAAACGCGTTCTTCCTACATTTGCATAACTATATTTTCATACCTAGTGATAGTGCTTATTGTTGAACTTTGAAAATCCTTTAACCTACAGAAATTATGCTTCCAGCCAGTGAGCAGCCTGTATAACGTAACCTATATTTCATAATTTCTCTTCCAGTCTTGGGACACATTCTTCCGCAACAGCACGGCCGGGGCTGGGCCTGGTTCGGCTTACCAAGCTCCACCATCTCTCGCTGGGAATTTTAATCAAGTTCCTCTGGGTTCCCTGCTACCGCTCGGCAGCGGATCACAAATTGGCCAAGCACCACTGAATGAAAAAATAATCGACGACCATCTGGCGGTACAAGCTATCATTCGCTCCTACCAGGTAACGCAGTTGAGACGAATTTATTTTTTACAAGCAAACACTAATGTACTGTATTATTATGGACTACTATTTCATGGTTACTAGCAATACTTTATCCGCTTGTTGGAAAATTAATGTTGATCGAGAATAAGGTCAACGTTATTAAAGCTACTACTTACTACTAAATCTGAGACCTCAATGGCTTAATTTTACAGACAATCGACAATAATGGATTAGCAATTGTAATTGTAATTTAACGAATGCCAAATCAATTTTCAGAGTTTCGTCTGCAAAAGTAATCGTTAACAGCTCGACCACACTCAGCACCTCCCACTAATTTTAATTTTCCATATTTTTAACGGTCATTTAATTTCTCAAACGCCAACTCAATCTTTATTTTTTATAATCCACTCTTTCTCTTACGATTGAGGTAACAGATTTGACATTGTATCACGCAGATTATTATTCATGTAACAGGCACGTTAAAAGATAATTTGCTTCTTTTAAAACAGGACTAAACCCTCGTCGATATTTTTATCTTCAAATATTACCATCAAAGCAGCATGAATTCAATAATTATGCAAACATACGTGTGTTTTACTGTACAGGGAAATCTTGTAATAAGCTGTTTTGCATGAAATTATATATGGACATGTGTATGTATCCTTCATTTTCTTAAAGGGCTTTTTATTTTTCTAAGTTGAATAATTGAAACTATGGTGAAGTAAAGCCAAAAGCGTAGCGCACAGAGGGAAAACAATCGGAGGACTAAAGTCAATTGTTTGCAGCAGGGATATGGTCGAGCGAGCATACGCCGCCGTGTAGCGTAAATAACGTTAAAGATACGGAATGTGTATTATTACATCGTATTACATCATATTACACGTGCCCGCCAATAATGTAAAATCTCTCCTCTTCTTCCTCCTCCTCCATTTTCTCCTTCTCCTTCTCCTCCATCTCCTCCTTCTCCTCCTTCTCCTCGTCCGTGAACTTTTCATGCTTAAGCTTAAACGAGTGTCCAAGTGTTCAGCAGTGGCTTTGAAGGGCACAATCGGCTCGTACGGTCGTTGCGTTACAAATCGCCTAGAATCGCCTAGATATCTCGCCTCTCCCTTCACCCACAGTTTAAAAATAATAAAGATAAATCACTTATTGATGTTTGGGGTACCCTGTGGGTATTGTTCGTTCGTATATAGGCTCGAGGTCACTTAGTTGCCGAATTGGATCCATTGGGTATCATGCGAACTGACTTGGTACACACGCATTACGCGGCTCGCAAGGGGTCTCCGGAACAAGTTCTACGACAATATATGCTTGGTAAGGTATCGATCACGTTCATTCTCATAAACTGGAATTTATCATTCCGAATTGACAATAGCAGTGAAGGTGCTGAAATTCACTTTCCCATAGTTTCACACAATTATTCATCACGTTATCATTATTATCATATTTGCCGGTAGTGCGATCTAGTCTTGCTGTCTCTACATGATTTTTCCAAACGAATCCCCACGGGTTCTTTTACATTTCACACCTTCACTAGCATTATTTACGAGATTTTTTTTTTTTTCTTCTTTTTTTTTTTTTTTGTTTCTTTGTTACATTTTATTTTTTTGTAAAGTTTTTTTTGAATTTTTTTTTCGAATGTTTTTTTGAATTTTTTTTTTTATCTTAAATACATCATCAACAACAACAATAACAATAACAATAATAATAATAACAACAACAACAACAATAACAACAACAACAACAACAACGTCAACAGCAACAAAAACGAGAACAAACTAACAATAAACAAACGAAAACAACAAACTTCTTGTTAATTTGTCAATGCTTTGTTATTCGGTACATAATAATACAATTTAGAGACGTCCGCATTCATTGATTTTACTGATACTGAAAATTTCTTTGCAACTTTTTAATATTTAATACAAATTTTATTAGCTTATGTATTTTAAACGTTAATTGTAATTATCTTTATCTATGACCCAAAATGTAAGCATGAAGGTAAGATGCATAATATTTTGAATGTTCCTAATGAAGCTTCCTTTGGTAAATTTTTTTTTACACTTTCTCGCATGCCTCTTTTTATTTATTTATATATTTATTTATTTATTTATTTTAACACTATTCTCGCATGGTTTGGTAAATGCATGAATTTAATTTATTGTTAATGGATCTTGCTTACTTTACGGTGACTTGCTCATTATATTGGAGGTCTTAGATCATCGGCTCTATAAATTTTTAATTATTTTTACGAACATGGAAAACTGTCAAACTCAATAAGACAATAGCATTTTTGTTAATTTAAAATGAAAAAGAAAAAACAATATAACAAAGATTTATTATTATCACTATTATGATTTATTAATTTTTCTTTAATTTATCATATGGGAGGTGTTAGGTGACGATGTGATATTGGTCAGCGTTGTTCAACCGTAGCATCGCGTCAAATTCAATATCACTAAGTAATGGTAACTAAGAAAAATGACCGAACATGTTGTTATAAAAATAAATTTCATTAGCGAACATTTGACGGTGTATTTCCACAAAAGTGTATTAAAATTGCAATACAACGAGAACATAACATACACGCAGTCAGTGTGAGTGCTAAACAGCATATAACGTGTGATGAAAGTGGATGACACACCGTTGACAGTCCGCTTCACCGATATCTAATGTTTAAAGTATTATTTTAAATGTAAATGTAAGATCTCTAAGCAATGATTATGGCCGGTAAATGTGCGGCCTTCCAATTGACAGATTCGTGGTCATCATATCGCTAAATTGGACCCACTGGGCATCAACAGCGCCGATCTCGATGACAGGCATCCCCAAGAGTTGCTCTATAATTATTACTCATTTGGTAAGCTGAACAAATAGAGCATAATTAATTTTTTGTTTAAAAGAAACACGCAAAAGTAATGATTGCGATTATTTTGGGGAATCTCTTCGATGATGATCGTTTGAGGAATTAAGGGAATGAATATTAATATTATTCTGTTTTAGCGTATTCGTAAAAATGAAAATGCCTGGGACGACAACTACGGGCTAACTTTTGTTAATCGGAAAGAATCTGAATCTTGTTTAATATCATTAAACGCAATGATCTATCTCTAATCGTGCCACCCTGCACGTACTTATCTATGAACGTCAATATATGAATATTTAAAATTATTTTTTATTTATTTATTTATTTATTTATTTATTTTTTTCCAAAAAATAATGATTATTCTCGTTTAACACGCTTTCCTTTCCTTTTGTTATAATTTTTTAATACGTTACGTATTAAGAATATATGCACATATGTTATATACACATATATACATATGCATATATATAATATGTATAATATTTATGTATAATGAAATAGCTGATGTATCATAATTTTTATTGCGAGCATGCAACTTATGAAAATCAAGTTTTTCCTTAAAATGAACGAAAGACTGCTAGTTTATTGAAAGCTTACTTATTTCCTATTATTTAATCATTTAGCAGTCAGAGTATTCGTCTTGTCTTTCTTATTGATTGCACACGTTTATTTCCTAATTCTTCACTTTTTTTTTTTTTAACCCTTTGCAGCAGAAAAAATGCTTATACCATAATGGTACGACATTTTCACCCTCTATTTTCTTATATTCTCTTATCATATACCTCGCAATTATTCTTTCTCACTTTTTTACCTCTCATTTATTACAATAATAGACGCCATTTATGATATATATATATATATATATATATATATATATATATATATATAATATTTCAAAATTAAAAAAATGATATTTTTTTATGTATATATTTTTGATAAATGATCTTGAATCAACTATATACATATATACATACGTACATATATATATATATATATATATATATATATATATATATATATATATAATTGTTATATCGATTCTCAAGATTTTTCACTTTAAATTTATACTTTATGATGTTAAAGTTGTGCTATCAAATAGAGGAAAGTATGCTTCAAAGGGTTAAACCGATAAAAGCAATTTAGTGCACAAAACTTACCCGGGCTTATTTAATATTGCACTATCAACACTTTACTACTCCCCTTTTATAAGACATAAAAAATATTTAAATTAAAATCTAATATGATTATCTGTGTTAATCATAATTACATAGAAAGCAATCGGAAGTTCGACCTATATTGTTTTATATCCTGAGTTTGGTTAATGTCTACAGGAAAGAATCCTCGTACTACTTACTCGCAAGAGCTTCGATATCGAGTAGCCGTTCTTACAGAAAGTATGTAGCCATTCAAGCAAAAATTAATCCAGTCTAAACGAATCTATTGGATTTTCATAAAAATATCATTCTATATAGTAGTAAAAATTTTGATGCTTCGTTCATTGTACGAGCATTCATGGATTGTACGGTTTCATTTTTTCCTAGCTGGCATAGCGGGTGCTTGGGTATAATCTAACCAACTTGTTTGGTAATTGGATAAGAAACTTTTCTCCGGAGAGTCTTCATTGCAATTTGTAAGGATTTGTGTATATATAACACCATTTTGTGTTTCTACACGTCCACGTGCATATGCGCGCCCGCTTACACACACACACACACAGACAGCGAGAGAGAGAGAGAGACACACACACACGCACACACACAAGCGCACTTAACAAGCGCATACATAATATTAAAAATATTGTTCGTGTATGTAGAAACGTATGTGTGTGAGCGAGCGCGCGCGCGTTTGTATGAGCATAAGTGTGTGCGTAAAGTGCATATTCGTGTGTGTAGAAGTTGTTCCATTGACGATAATAAATGGTTTTCTTTTTGACAAACATGTATCGTAAGGCAAATTTTAACGATTTTCTGGCAGTTTCTTTAATTTAATCTCATTTATTTATTTATTTTTTGTGATAACATGCTTGAGGTATTTATTTGTGTCGCTTTCATTTGTGACTAAAGAAACCGCGTTATTATTTCACGCAAAATGGCATTACATATTTAAATATCATAAGTATATATTTATGTTCCGTTATTAATTTTTAATATACTTCGTTTTAAAGTAAAAGACCTGCGTCTCGTGTGTATCTTCTCTCGTCATCTTAAAATTGACTTCGGAAAACAGCATGTAACAATCATATTTTTATTTTTTATATAAAAAAACAAAGAAAAAGAAAAAGTAATTACAGTTTTATATGGTAATTAAAAATTTTCAAAGATATATCTACATCCAAAATTAACTAATTTCATTGAAAAATATAATGAATACATATATATTTCCTTGAACGATGTCATCGTTTTAACGAACATTTAATGCAATTCCATTTTCAACCATCTGACAATAAATTCAGGTTACAATAATATACTCGGTACAGTTATACGCATTAATAAGTAAAAAAAAAAAAATGTCTTACCTTCAAATCACTAAAAATTACTGAATTTATCTGCTTATGTAATTTTATTTTGATATCAAGATATCAAAATTTATGGAATTAAAAAATTGTGATGTTTTTGGAAATTTTATAACCAAGTCCCGGTAATTTTTTTTTTTTTTTTTTTTTTTTTCAGGTCTTTTGCCTTATAGAAGTTTCATATCATTTCATTATTCTTTTTACTTTTTTATTTATTTAAAGCGAGTGGTATGCTCTTTTAGGATTGATAGTTTTTATATAAAATAAAATGCATGTATTAAACATAGATAGAAAAAGGGTCACAGAAATGATAAATTAAATACCAAATATGTAAAGATATATAATTACATATCTATTTAACCCTTTAAGTATTACATAATAATAGATGGCACACTGTCGCGATCGATTTGACGTGTTTATTTATTCATTTAAAGAAATGCCTTAATCGAGCGAGTCAACAAATATGTGTGTATAATTAATATTATGTAGATAATGATTTTATTAAGATTTTGAAAACTGAGTTAAAATTACCTGATATTCGTGTAAAGACTCATATTTATGTGTATATAGATATATGTATTATAATAAATAGCATTATATTAATAAAAATAAAAGTGTTTTACTGGAAGGGTTAAGTAGTAGTATATTTATTTTTTTTTATTTTTTTTTAATTTTTTTTTTAATTTTTTTTTAATTTTTTTTTTTTTCAAAATTTTTTTTTTTTTTTTTTTTTTTATGTAGAAATTGAAAACTAACTTTGTAATGTATGAAAATAATATTCACTTCTAATTCGCATCAATTTTAAGATTGAAATTAACATAGAAACCATCGTTTTCAGTATCAGTTCTAAATAATCAATCGCATAATACGAATGTCGTGTAAATACTTTGGTTCATTAATGCGTTTTAATAAGTTTTAATTTCTAAGACGGAAAATGCATATCATTAATGAATAAAATACAAATGTATAATTAATTATACGATACACATTCAAGCATTGAATGGGTTTATCATCATTCATTAGGATTCTATTAAAATACGTTTTCCCGTAATACACAAAAACAGAGGAATCGGATATGGATCGCGTATTCAAGTTGCCGTCGACGACATTCATCGGGGGGAAAGAAAAATCTCTGCCTCTGCGGGAAATTCTCAAAAGATTGGAGACTACGTACTGTCGGCACATCGGAGTCGAATTTATGTTCATCAATTCCTTGGAGCAGTGCAATTGGATTCGCCAGAAGATGGAAACACCCGAAATCATGGAAATCGATAATGATGAGAAGCGTTTGATCCTTGCTCGATTGTCTCGTGCCACGATGTAATTATTTCCATTTGCTATATTGTAAATTTATATAAGACTTCAAGCGCTAGGTGTGTAAAATTTGATAAATATCATGAAAAATACACACGAGCCAGGCTTTTTTGTGAAAATGACGGATAAATCAAAGATTTCATTTCGACTTTTCACGGAAATTTTCATTTCTTAATACTATTATTACTTTTGACTATTTCCGATTTGATAATTTGATAATTTGATAGACAGAATCGTAATAGCCAAGTTTAATTAATTATAGTTGTATATCCCAATGGCTTATATAATAATACGTTATTTGTATAGGTTCGAAGCATTTTTGGCGCGCAAGTGGTCATCGGAAAAGAGATTTGGCTTGGAAGGTTGTGAAATTCTGATTCCCGCCATGAAGCAGATAATTGATAAATCAACGGAACTCGGTGTCGAATCGATCGTCATGGGAATGCCTCATCGAGGTCGTCTTAATGTCTTGGCCAACGTCTGCCGCAAACCCCTGAATCAAATATTTACCCAATTCGCTGCTCTCGAAGCTGCGGACGACGTAAGTCCATTTAATTTGCTTTTTATCCAAGTAATCATCCAAGCCGCTAATTCGGCCAATTCGCGCACACTCATTTTCTATTTAATTAGGGATCTGGTGACGTAAAGTACCATTTGGGTACGTACATTGAGCGTCTGAACCGCGTGACGAATAAGAACATACGCTTGGCTGTCGTTGCAAATCCATCGCATTTGGAGGCGGTTGATCCCGTAGTTCAAGGCAAAACACGTGCAGAACAATTTTATCGCGGAGACGGCGAGGGCAAAAAGGTAATTGCTTAGCGACTCAATCGAATAATAAGCGTCACTTTAGTCGCAGCCTTGACATTATAATTGTCGATGACTGTGTAAGATCATCTCGTACATTATGAATTAACAATGAGACGACCAACAATTTGCTTCTAGGTCATGTCTATTCTTCTTCACGGTGATGCTGCCTTCTGCGGTCAAGGAGTCGTTTTCGAAACGATGCACTTGTCGGATCTGCCAGATTACACAACTCATGGGACCATCCATATCGTCGTTAACAATCAAATTGGTTTCACCACTGATCCGAGGCACTCGCGCTCGTCACCATACTGTACAGGTACGAATGAATTGTCAATGCCGTTGTCGTTATTTCAATTACGATCAATTAACGCAATATTTATGCGATAGATGTTGCTCGTGTGGTAAATGCCCCCATTTTCCACGTGAACTCCGACGATCCAGAAGCGGTCATGCACGTGTGTAAGGTCGCCGCCGAGTGGAGATCCACGTTCCACAAAGACGTCGTTATCGATCTCGTATCTTACAGGCGGAACGGTCACAACGAGATCGATGAGCCAATGTTTACCCAACCTCTGATGTATCGTAAGATTAAGAATACACCGCCTGCCATTGATCTTTATGCTAAAAAACTCGTTGATGAGGGCGTAGTTACTCAAGAAGAGGTCAAGGTTCGTATATTGTAATAAAGTAACAAATGCCTTTTTTGTTTTTGTTTTTGTTTTTGTTTTTGTTCTTGTTTCTTTTGCCTCTTTTTTCTTCACTCAATTAGCTCTTGCGTTTAATGTTAATTTAGAAAGTACACGAGAAGTATGAAAAGATTTGCGAGGAAGCGTATACCAACGCTAAGCAAGAAACTCACATCAAGTATAAGGATTGGCTGGACTCCCCATGGTCTGGATTCTTTGAAGGCAAAGACCCATTGAAATCTTCGCCGACGGGCATTAAAGAGGACACGCTCGTTCATATTGGAAAGAAATTTTCATCGCCTCCCCCTAATGCTGCCGAATTTGTCATTCACAAAGGTCACCCGCACTATGCATTTCCATTAATGAGTTTAAAGGCTCCAAGCAGATATATTCGCGCAAACGCATCAAACTTCAACTCTCGAACTAATGCTCTTGATTTTAGGTATCGAACGTATTCTCAAGGCTCGAATGGAAATGGTCGAGTCTCGACAAATTGATTGGGCTCTTGGAGAGGCCATGGCATTCGGTTCGTTACTTAAGGAAGGTATTCACGTGAGACTGTCCGGTCAAGATGTCGAGAGAGGAACATTCTCCCATAGACATCACGTTCTGCATCATCAAACCGTTGACAAAGCGACGTATCGGCCACTCTGCTATCTCTATCCGGATCAAGCCCCCTACACAGTCTGCAACAGTTCCTTATCGGAATATGGCGTTCTTGGTAATTGATATCGCACAGCTATGTATTGAGTATGGCGGAGCATGAAAGTAAATGAGATTTTATTTCGTTTAGGATTCGAGCTCGGTTACTCGATGACGAATCCCAATGCTCTTGTAATTTGGGAGGCGCAATTCGGAGATTTCAACAACACTGCTCAATGCATTATCGATCAGTTCATTAGCAGTGGCCAAGCAAAATGGGTACGACAGTCCGGCCTCGTTATGTTACAGCCGCACGGTCTTGAAGGAATGGTACTTGAATGGAAATCTCATATTTTTCTTTCTCTCTCTCTCTCTATCTCTATCTCTCACTCTCACTCTCACTCTCTCTCACTCTCTCTCTCTCTCTCTTTTTCTTTCATTCGTTATTCCATATCATCCGTTTCCATTGAAATTAATCGTCGTTGACTTCTATCCAGGGCCCCGAGCACTCAAGCGCTCGTCTCGAAAGATTCCTGCAAATGTCGGCAGACGATCCGGACTATTTCCCACCCGAGAGTGAAGAATTCGCGGTACGACAGCTTCACGATATCAATTGGATCGTTGCCAATTGCAGCACACCAGCCAATCTTTTCCACATCCTTCGTCGACAGATTGCACTGCCTTTCCGTAAACCCCTCATTATCATGACGCCAAAGTCGTTACTTCGCCACCCTGAGGCCCGTTCGAGCTTTGACTCGATGCTGGAAGGAACTGAATTCCAAAGAGTTATTCCAGAGGAGGGTATCGCGGCCCAAAGTCCCAATAACGTTAAGCGACTTCTCTTCTGTTCCGGAAAGATTTATTACGACCTGAAGAAGGCGCGAGCTGAAAGAAAGCTGGATGATGGTGTAGGAATCGTGAGGGTGGAACAGGTAAATAAGCCGAGTGCTTTGTTACTTTTTAATTTCATATACAGCAACGAATGCTACTTCATTTCCTCTTATTATTACCTACAGATAACTCCGTTCCCCTATGATTTAATAAAGAAAGAGGTAGCGAAATACCCTAATGCCGAATTAGTTTGGGCCCAAGAGGAGCATAAAAATCAAGGAGCCTGGGGCTATGTTCAGCCCAGATTCCACACAGCTCTTAATGGCTCTAGAAACGTTTCGTAAGTACCATATTGTTCTCTTTATTAATCTCGACGATTATTCGTTTATGCTTATGCTTCTTACAAATTTCTCATTCTTTTTTTTTTTGTTTTTTTTTGTTTTTTTTTTTTGTTTTTTTTTTTTGTACATACATATCAATATTATTAGAATCAGCACTTTAGTTTCAAAATTATCTCTCTTTTACCAACTGTCGTAGACTTGCACTCGTTCTAGAAATTTATAATTTACTTCATTTGTGTATCGCATGTATATACGAATAAAGTTAGACAATTCTTGTTTATTGTATATACTTAAATCATACTGTCTATATGGCCCCTATTTTTTACATAAAAGAAGAAAAAAAAATCGACGTTTACTTTTATTTTGCTTTAATAATATCGCACACTTCATTAAAGCATAAATTTATTATTTACCACGGAAATAATGTAATAAATAAGAATGATCGACTGGAGTTGGAGTAAAACATTTGGGCCATGTTACAGTATCACGAGTGCAAAAGGTAATGGTGGGGGATGGTTCAGTAGCTGGTTCTCTTCGTCCAAATCGTCAGAAACAACTACTGCTTCTGAAAGAAATGTGACAGAACCATCAAAACCAAAACCACAAACGCTTAGGTAAACATGAGATAAGATAAGATAATTGAAAAAAAAAAAAAAAAAATTGCCGTCTACTTGGGCTGCTTTGTTTGCGTTGGCCATAATAGAATGCAGCTTGTGACAACGAGGATAATTAATATAGAATATTTATTGCTTTCAGGTACGCTGGTCGTCCTGTCGCAGCGTCACCGGCCACCGGTAGTAAAATGCAGCATCTTAAAGAATTGAAGCAACTGTTTGACGACTCTTTTAATGTTTAATTCTTCTTAGATTTGTATAAAACAAAATTTATTTATTTTCCTCCGATTCAACCCTAATGTTAATACGGTAATCGCCCGCGCTATAAATATTTAAAAATCTTCGGTGAACTTTCATTCTTAAATAATTCTCATAGGGCCTTGGCAACTAGCATTACGAGCGGTGCTAGTGATGTTTTGAGCCAATGTGAAACTCAACTATTAACGAAATCTACATGAAATATTGGAAAATCGTTGTTAGCTTTGTAACGATAATTATCAAACTATTACGATAACGAGTCGAGTTTGTTTGAGTTGGCTTGAGTTTCTCAGTGGCTTTAATAACCAAAGGCACACGAAACTGTATTTTTCTGTTCATACCTTTAAAATCAATTTCGTGAAAATGTAATAAAACTACTATACTAAAGTATTATATTAAATTTAAACGCTGAGCTTGTAAGATGAATGCGCTTAAGCGTGCACACGATTCCGTTACACTAGGAGATTCTTCGCATAACATTGGACTTCAATGTTGAAGAGAAAAAAAAAAGAAGTTTTTTCTATAAAATAGAAAAGAGAACTGCCAATCGTTTTAACTTTTTATAATTGTTATATTTTGTAAAAAATTTAAGCGATTGGTTAATCGTTGAGTGAGTGCTATAACGGCGTTAGCCTAAAAAACGGTGGTAAAAAACACGTATAAATATACATACGCATTTTGTGTGCGCATGTATGGCTATATGTATGTGTATAACGCGATGGAGTAGCCGATGATAATTGCAATGTACGTTTTAATATTTATTTAATTTGAATGAAAAACAAAAACAAAACAAAAAAAAAAACAAAAAAAAAAACGAGCTACTTCATATTGGATACAGCATAATTTGCAAGGACAGTATTTCATTATCACAAGTTCCTTATAATTTATAAGGTATTTTCGTTTAACAATTAAACAGATTATTCCGAAGATAATAATTGTCCCAGATGAAGTGTAGAACGAATCATTTATTAATGAAACTATGAGAAATATAAAGAAATTGAATGAATATGTGTAATGGCGCTGCGACAGAGTTGTTTGTCATTTCTGGCGGGAACTAGATGTGATTTAACAAGGGAGGTGGTCGAATGTAATTTTAAACCTGATATCCTCAGCGATAATTTATTAATAGAGATTTTATGTCCAATATGTTATGTGCTTTTTTTCGTTACACGGTTAAAGTTATATAGATCGTGTGCAATACATACTTAAGCATACTAGTATCAAAAAGTAGCTAATGATCAGTTGGTGAACGTTAAATTAGGTAATAAATTATATTTTATCGATTAAGAAAAATGAACAAATTTACATTGCACTTCATTGTAGCAAATTAAATATGCAATTAAATTAAATCTTCCACCAGATTATTATCCTCTTGGTGCTTATTCTTTCGAGTATCCCCTCATTATCCATCCTGTGCCGTTGAAAATGTCGGGATCAATGAAAAGTAAATGTAAACTTCGTGTTAATCCATTTATTTATTAGGAATCTTATAATAGTTTGATTTCAAATAGACTTATAACATATGTACATAAGTATGCACGCGCACGAGTATCAATTTTTTTTTTCTTTTCCTTTTTGTTTCTTTACAACTAGATTTTCCTCGTAGTTGCTTAACTCATTTTAAAAGCATTTTTAACATCGTCTTAAGAATTAAAGTTTTCAACGTTCAATAAGTACAAGTTTCCTTAAGTACAAGAGAGCTAACACAATGTTGCAGACTATGTAAAAACGGAAGAAGCTAAAAATTAGGCTTTCGTTGGGAATAAAAAAATAAGTTTGATCTAGAGCGATTTCACGTGTAAAAATAAAATCTCTGATTTACATTTTTTTTCTTTCTTTTTTTTTTAACAATCGATCCCATATTCTTTATCATGTACTAAAAAATTTCGTGTATAATATTTGATTTGCTTGGTGGGGGGGGGGTAGGGGGAGGGGAGGGGGGGGGGGTTTTTGTTTATAATTGGGGGGGGGGGGGGGGGGGGTTCTTGTTTAATAATGTAGATAGATGATTTCGACGAATTTGATAATATTTCCCCCTTGCTTATAAACAAAATTCATTGCGTATTCGTAAAATCAACGTGACTTTATTCCAATATTTCCTCTTCGTTTAATAATCTGTTTCTCCAAGAACGCTATACATGACCCTTCTGAAGCTATTACTTTGATGAATTGGATCGCCATCGCTATCTACTACGTTGACCTGCAAGGGAAGATATGAAAACGAGGTTCTTCAAGCGAATTCAAGTGATTTGATAAAATTAAAGAAATAGGTAAAGTACTTACAACGGGACTCTTTGGCCGGAACGCTGTAGGCTGCGATTTATAAAATTTTAATTTTATATGTAATAGTGACGAATGATATTTTAATTCATTTTTAAAACTTTTTACCGAATGAACGAACGTCTTTGCAAATAAGTTTTTTCTTCACATTAAGTAACGTATAGCCAATGGTTTGACAAAAAATATTCTTAAAAATGAATTAATGACTTAAATTTTTTTTTTTTTTTTTTTTTTTTTTTTTTTTTTTTATAGAATTTATTAGCTTTTCGTCTGTTCATACGAGCTATGTGTAAAAGTTAATGATATCAATTAGTTTTGTATTAATTATTACATTAATATTATACGATATAGTGGCTCTATGACAAATTCATCAAATATCGTAGGTTTTATTTTACTCTTATTAATCATAAACATGGCCGAGACGATTCGATTAACCCATTGTTAATTCATTAGTTATGGAAATTTTTGATAAAGTAAAGTAAAAAGTAAATTTTTATTCAATTAAGTTAGAGACGGTATAGAATTATTAATATAGCACGTGACTTGTGGGTCTATGTGAGTGCGATAGGAATGGTTATTTATGGGAAAGTTTTAAATTTGCGAAGATCAGTGCTGAAATCGCGCGTAACCTCTATTTTTCATTTTTTATTTCCCCCCTTTATTTAATGAACGGAACGGAAGATTTTAAAATATAATTGCTAAATTAACGTTTGCTCTTTTGGGACAAAAATTCCTGATAAACGACATTGTTCTTTTCATAATTTTATCAATGATTTTATTGAAACTCCACGTAATTTATATTTTTTAATGTTACCGTATACTTTCAATAGTATAAATTATATGGTTTAAGTTCATTTTTCCTTGTCATTTTACGTCTCGACGTGCTTGGTTATTAAATATATGTTGGAATAAAGTTGCTCTTCGATATTCGCACGACAAAATTAAAATTGTCACTAAGAACTCGCTGCCCTCAATCTTTGTTTTCACAAGACGATCTTGATTTTTCATAACTTACCGTTGCGTCTTCTTAAAGTTTGACACAGAATCCGATTTCCCAATATTGTCATTAGACATTTTGTCTTTAGACTTTCCTCCTCGACGGCCGTTCACCGCTTATTTACAAGACTTATTAATAATATCGGACAGGTTGACGCTGTCGAGTTAGGGTTTTCAGCGACCATAAAGTAGGCTTGTAAATTGCTATATTGCTTGTCGACAAGCAGTTTTCACATATCCAGACTCATTACTTTTTAGACACACCTCGTATATTCTTAATGAACAAACAATTCAACGATTATACTAAGCTACTTTTCGACATGTTAATAAATCCAAAGCACGACGGCTAATTGGACGGATACGACAATGCCATTATCAAATGGGCTTATCGTTGAGAGAAGGTAATGATAGAGAGACGCCGCACCGAGCGCTTAATTAACATAACTAAGATAGACTGAAATTTATGGTAAACGACGTTTATTGTGTTTAAAAAAAAAAAAAGAGAAAGAGAGAAAAAGTAACGTGACGCGATGTTATTTTACTCGTTGAATCCCAGACGCGTGCACATTGGCCAATGGCTTTTGGCGACACATAGAGTCACCAACGCGATCCAATTCTGAATTTACAGCATATATATATATATATATATATATATATATATATGAAATATCTCGACGATATCTGGTCAGCGGAGCTCAATGAGTAAAAGAAATTTGTTAGTGGAATGTTTTTAACTTATTCTAGAGGAATATGGTAAAATCTTACTCTGGCTAATTGACGAATCTTACTCTGTTTTGCCTGCCTCTGTTCGGCGGTGAGAAATAGCCTTGGCGTGTCGGCTGACTGAATCGCTGCTCATAGTTGTCGTAGCCCTCCTCCTGGAGGGCCTTGTAGGCCTCGCTGATGTTTGGATCAAACTTGCCCGGCTTCTTACTGCATGAATCATTCGTATAGTGTGTATTTTTAAGTACGTCTAGGTGGCACCCACTCTTTTTAGCATGATGTCTTTATATCGTTATATGGAATATCGTTACATGGATCTAAATGACCTTTCGAGCTAATCCGTAGCACTCGACCTTTATTATACCACGTGCATCGAATAGAAAGTTGTTAATTCGATGATGAATATGAACGACACTCCAGCGCATCTGCACTACATGATTATTAAACACAACATTTCACGACGAGTTTTTACAAGTCTGTTAATAATTGAGCAGCCACTATTTATTACTTGCATCGCCCGTTACGCACACGTGCACTCTCACTCGCTCGCTCACTCACTCGCTCACTCACTCACTCACTCACTCACTCACTCTTTCGCTTTTTAAACTTATTTGAGTCTGGCTCGATTTTGTGACTACATGCACTACTACTGTGCGTGCGCTTGTGATGAAATGGCAGTTGTAAGCGAGAAGAGCTTATAGTGGGGCGATGATGTTACGATAATACAGTTTATTTAGTTATATCGACTCCAGTTGATTTCAGAGAGCGATACCTTGATTCTGATTATTTACAATGATAAGTATGTTCGCCACTGGTTAGTTTTATAATGTGTGAAAAACCTGTACATAAGGATTATCCAGAGATAATACGCGTTGCATGCAAATTTTGGTTGTAAAGCGCAATACGTGCTGCAGTCCTTTCTTATGTCGTTTCACTTTCAAATGTCAATTTCGTTAAGCATGTTCCATTAAATTTTCATATACCTTGTTCCATAATCGTTAACGCGCTGCATATTACATTCTAGAATCATTTCGTTTTTTGTTTCGTGCTCAAGTAATTGCGATCGTTCAAGCTTTTCGATAGGTAAATACGAGAATCGGATTGTGGTATGATTTTATATGTGCCGGTATAAGAGAAAAAGAAAGAGTAGGATATCTAGAGGACGAGCGAGCAAATAAAACAAGTTTAATTGGGCTTATTGAATTGCGGCCACACGTTCTTCGCTGCAGCCGCTCGTGCTTGCTCTTTCATACGTCTCGCTTGCTCTTGGATTTCCTGTTTCTGTTTCACGAAGGAAAAGTCTATGAAAATGCTGGAAACATAAACAAAGAGCTCTGATCAATTGTTAACGGTTGCATCCTTCTCTCACCCCTTCCAACAGCTGCAATAAATTTATGATTCTGTTTGTTTCTTTTAATGCGCATCATCATAAATGCCATACGGTCTTTCTTTTCCTCGAGTTCGTCGCCTTTGCTTGCTCATTGTATATTTTAACATTAATGAAAATTTATAATTGGAGACACTACAGACACATACGAAAATCCGGAACAATAATAATATTTAGCTGATTGTGGTATAAGTATGTTAATAGCCCATGAAATTAGCGCCCCGTCAGCTTTACGTCATTTACCATCGTAGCTCGATAAGATTATTCAGAATATTTTTTTATTAAATAATATTTTCGTAACCCGTTGTAATTAATAAAACTTTCTCCATATACCAGTCTTTGGCTTCGTACGTAAAGAAAATGAAAAAGTGGTTCGTTAATTTTCTCTCGATATCAATAAAACGACGTGCTAACTAATACTCAAACATCCAAGAGTATTGATCACGCGATTTCAAAAATATATCAACAAATCTAATTTCATATCCTCGAAATGAAATGTTCGATATTACAGAATATAAGTAGTAAAAATTAGAAACTTGCGCGAACGACGTTGCTGAAAAATTGATAAAAAAAAAAAAAAAAAAAAAAAAAAAAAATCTTGTGATAGATACGAAATTTTAATAAATTTTAATAAATTTGACGACAGTATAATGTCGAATTCTCTTGATTTCAATGACCGTTCAATATCTTAATTGATTAATATAGGAATTTTGTAATGGAGTCACGACATTAAGTTCCCGCCCGCATGAAAGAGACATTAAGCCGGCCGTTAATCGCTCTCACTGTGCAGATAAATTCAATTCAAAATTTTTCATGCCACGAAATCTATAAGCAGCAACGAAGCAGTTAAGTATACACACACATATTTATATATATATATATATATAGCCAGTAAAATAGAGAATTATAAATTTTTTATTATTATTAATTATTATTAATTTGTCTTGATGATAAAACTGAGCTTTAAATAAGCATTGGGTAAGGTTAATCCATTATCGTACGAGCAGTCGCAAAAAAGAAAAAAAAAACCAATGAAAATCTGAACAAGCAATTTAAATAAACTGCGATAGATAATGAAAAGAGATTGAGCAAATATTTACTGATAATAGCAATGGCGATTTACAGTGACGAGAGTCGTTATTCATTATGCGAGTGTAATGACTGATTGAATCGCGTGAAATTATCTAGGCTAATGAATCTTCTATGAAGTCTAGAATAAAAAAGCGAACGTAGAGTGAGCGTGAGGTTGATTTACTTACGGGATGGCCGAGGCCTGGCCTCTTAAAGTGTCCGCGATATTTTGTTCGGAGTAGAGACCGACTGGCGAATTGAATTGCATAGGTACAACCTGTCGGAAAAAGAATATAAGGGAGAAACATGTGTAAAAAGTCAAGATACAAAAAAAAAAAAAATTGAAAGAGTAATTATAACGTAGAACGTAATAGAAAAATGTTAGTTCACAAATTTTTTTTTGTTTTTTTTTTTTGTTTTTGTTTTTTTGTTTTTTTGTTTTTTTGTATTCTCTTTATTAGTATTCATTTTATTGGGTAAAAACGGCTATATTAATAAGATCCACGCAACAAAACAAAATAATAATTCATACGGCGTTTTCGTATTGCTCAATGATGTTCTATATTAAGCTTAATCAATTCTTTTTTTTCTTTTTTTTTTTAATTTTATTATAATGATAAATGCCATGAGACGTTTTAGGTGCAAGCGATGAGGCTGCAGCGTATCCAATGAGTTTCTCTGGAATGAATGGCAATTAAATCAAATCGCTTAATGCAGTTGTTACGTATTATTCGTTAATTCTACATCCTTATGCTATGCGCAATCGTTGGCTGGATACAAGGCGAAACAAAACAATAAAAAAGAAGAAGAAGAAGAAGAAGAAGACGAAGTAATGAGGATTTGAGGATAAGATGAATGTCCAGGCCGAGGGCGTGAATATTGTTCATAAGCGATGGGACAAATGGAAAATATTGGATCGCTCGAGTTGACGTGACGCCGATCACGACTCGACATGTCGCCGAGATTCAGGCGTCGCTCGTTTAATTAAACGTGACGCGCGAATCAGGAGGCATTCACAATGAATTAAAATGCAAAGCACTCTAAGCGAAAATTCTCTCAAATATCAAAATTTCAATAAGCAAAACATTATATGTATATTTAGAGAGCCGCGCTGGCAATTTGGCACCTGCGTATTTAACGTTAGCTTTTCATTAATAGCCGAGTGGGCAAATGCGCCTGCGTCGTGCTATATCTATTTTGTTATTATAAGTGTGGCTCAACTCGTAATATAAAAGTATGCGCCGAAAATCCAAATGAAACGGGCGTTTAAAAATAGCGGCGTTAAAGCACTGGCGAATACGATGCGCATGAGAAAAGTAGCGTAAAGTCAACGCAAAATCAATAAGTGCAAAATGTTTGCAAACCTTGGGTAGATCGTTAGGGCTGACGCATCGCTGAAGTACAGATTCCGCCACCTAGGCATAGACGCTCATGTGAGATAATATCGATAAAGGCGAGTTCACGCCTTCTTACATAATCTTAACCGGCTTAAAAAATATATATACGTAACGAACAAGAATACGAATCGAGTGAAAAAGCGCTTAGAACGATCGATCTCGACTTCCGTTGGTCAGCTCTACACGCGTACGATCCAAGTGGGCTGTGGATTTATTTCAATCCACAATCGATCGCTGCCATTGGAGACCCTCGATTAAGAAAATACCAATTGGCAATTAACGTTGAGATCGAGGATAATAATCAACTTGTGCGTCTACTCGATTCTGATCTCCTGTACGACCGGCGTGATCTGATATTTGAATGTACGTACTTTCTGCTTCATCGCGACCTCGGGACTTAAGAACTCGTATTGACGAGGCGATGCCCTGACCATTGGATTCGGGTGGTGGCGAAGGTAGCACTCGTTGATGGGCGTATCCTTCTTGATCTTGGCCCCGGGAAGGACGAGGGGCGTCGTTCGGTATGGCTGCAAGAGAATCGAAATTTTATTTCTTTTCACGCTGCTCACAGCTTCAATTTTTCTTTCAATTAACTCGGCCGCTACTGTATTATTTTAATATGCTGCTTTACCCCCTAGCAAGTTGCTAAAATTAACGCATTATTCATTATAGAGAAAGATAGATAGATAGATAGATGAATAGATAGATGGATAGATAGATAAATAGATAGAGATAGAGATAGATAGATAGATAGATAGATAGAGAGAGAGAGAGAGAGAGAGAGAGAGAAGGAAAAAAAAACTGCGGCAATTTTTTCATAATTAGCACACTTGGTCTTTAAACTATATTAATTGTTATTTTATTGTGAAATGAACGTTTTCAAAGAAATTCGTGCAAATGACATTTACTCCCAAAAACCCATAATAAAGCTGATAAACGGAAAGAGTAATAATTCAAAATTAATAGATTTATGCTCAGCGAAGGAAATATTAAATTTACCTTCATTTTTAACGAATAATATTTTTATTATATAATTTATTCAGCTGTAATAGCGATTACGGTATATTTTCATTATTAAAACAATATTAATGATATTTATGAGGATACGACATATCGATGGGAAATTATTATGATGTTAAAATCAAAAAAAAAAAAAAAAAAAAAAAAAAAAAAAAAAAAAAACAAAAAAAAATGTGTAACTAAAATAAAATAAATTCCTGCATCACATTAAGCATTGTAGAAACAAAAGTCTAAATAGTAGGAAAATTGCTAGATTTTCTAATAATTTGATCGTATCATAAAGTAATGATAAATTCTTTATCTTCATACATTGTGTATATCGATTAAAAGTCAATCATTTTTATTTATAAAATTTTAAATCGTTTCTTCTTTTTTTTTTTTTTTTTTATTTCGATATGTAATTTAATTGATTGTAAATTGATTATTGCCATGGTAAGTAGTGTTAATAATATTTAACCGAAATATATTAGAAGAAAGTTTTGCAGCCACCGGAGGTAGCGATTGTTTTCAATTTTCTCTCCTCGTGCGATCCTCACCCGAGATTATTAGCCAAATAAGCTAATTTTATTAAATTTAATAATCGGCATTTACGTAAAATAGGTTTAAAACCTACAGCCATAAGCTATTATCTCCGAATGCTCTTTAAATCTCGGGGATGCACAAGAAACCTGACTGAACGATATTGTAGGAAGGGCGATCGATTTGGCCGAGAATAATTGACGTAATCGATAGAGGCCAAAGGCGTCCGCGTCAATAGCTCGGTTATAACATAAAAAATGCATGCTTATGGTATGGTGTGTAAGGGTGTGGCTATGAGGTGTCGCTAAAGAATTTCTTTGCCGGTTGAGCGCGTAACAATTTGAAAGATAGCCAAGAAAATTCCACGATATTCTGTAATAACGAGCTTCGACAGGATGGTCCAGCGGCGTTAATAAAACTTGTCAATTAGATGGATGACGCGTTGGGCCGTGCGTCCCAATTAATTTTTTCGGCCGGTAAAGCATCTTTATCTCGTTTATCGAGGATAGTCTCATTCGCCACTTTCTTCGTGTCGAGCTTTAGCGTCTTTCTTTCTCGTCCCGGCGGCGGGCAAAAGTTGGCATGACTGTCGCCGCGCGAATGAAAAGCGTGAAATATTTTAGCCACTTGGCATCCCCGAGCGTTATACGACAATGTGATCATTTCTTCAGATTAACTATTTTTACTTGCGCTTATGGATTATCGTATTTTCTGCCCTGCATTTCTCTGTCTTCTTTATTGCCGCGCGCTCCACTACTTCGGCTAGCCGATTCAACATTTTCGGATATTTTCGCGTTTGCGAAAAGCGATTAGCGGGCCAATGTCACCGATCCCATGTGAAAAGGCATTATCCGCCGATGCTTTTGGGCTCGCCGAATTCAAGAAATCCGCAATTGGAGCGCCCGATTTTCAAAAGCCAACAGCGATGCAAACGACGAGGATTCACGAGCTTTCGCTAGGCCAGAGGGATCGCGCTTAATAAATATTTACGCTCTTGTTTTCGCTTCGATCAGTCTCTTAGACAGCCGTGCTTTCCTAAATCTATAATTACATTCGAAACTCTTTTTGTAAGCGCGTTTAGAAACGCTAATTTAACGCGCTGCTTCTGAGCGAAATTTTACATTTCCCTCTGATAGGCTCAACTACTAGGGATTCCGATCGATAAGACCAAAACGCATTCTCGGATTTCATTGAGTATTGTTAGAGTAAGGATAACTAGATATTAATTAGCATCTCACCATGGGCATTGGCTCTCGAGTAGTAATTTATTCAGCCAACGTGACAATAAGATACGGAAAATAACGGAAAATAAAAAATGCAACAAAAAAAAAAAATTCAAAATTCCAAGACGTTTGACGAAGTACATTTGATAAATAAAACAAAAACAAAACAAAAAGCAAAAACAAAAAAAAACAAAACAACAAAAAAAAAAAACAAAAAAAAAACAAAAAAAAAAATCTCAAAGTATCGATAAAGTCGTTTAAAAATATAAAATTGCTTGGACTGATTAGTTAAAGCTCCGTGATTATTATTCATAGCTTTTAAATTCGTTTAAAATACCAATAGGCAAAGCATCATCGCTTCTACGAAGCAGTTGTAATACGATGTTTCTCCTTCTTTATTGTTCTTACTTTTCTTTTTTTCACTTTACCATTAATTTGGCCAAATATATCAACGTATTATTATTGAAATTGACATGGAAATTGAAAATTTTTTTATGAAATATAGTGCAAAAATACGGGCAACCTTGGGAGCCCGAGTAACACCTACCGACTCGCATTATAAATTTTAGTTGCTCGTCGAGTGGAATGGTGAATAAAACGAATGCGGATAAAAAAAAGAAAAAAAGAAGAAAAAAAAAGGAGATCGAATATAATTTTAATGCTACTGTGCTTCGATTCCAAGTCCTTCTATTTTTAGACGAGTGCTTTAAACGTTGTATTACAAGAAAGAAAAATTCATTTAAAATTATGCAAGTTTATTTTAGAAACTGTGTATTTTTATCCGTAATAAAAAATTTGTTATTCTAAAATAAATTCAACGCGGATTCTATTCTCTACGCATGCCTTTGGCGCAATAAATGTTTTTCACAAATCAATGTTTTTCACAAAGAGAATGCTTTTCCAATTTATTAGCTGACGCTTAATCCCTTGCCACGGTTAGAACGAAAACATCGCCTAGTTGACATGAATTTTTTCCTGTTTTTTTTTCTTTCTTTTTTTGTTTTTTTTTTTTTTGTTTTTTTTTTTGTTTTTTGTTTTGTTGCTGGTTTTTCCGTAAAAATACAAATAAAGCACGATTCCATCGATCGAAAGACAACGACCGACTGTTTCGAGAATTCTGCTTATAAATACGGTGCTGGAAATCATGGATTCTGCCCAGTCTATTGGAAGATTAGGCTAAAGCGAGAAAAGCTACGTACGGGATCGTAAATAAATAAATGGTCGTGCTTGCTTGAACTACGAGTGCATTGGTAGGGTGGTGAGGGGGTGAGGGGGTGAGGGGGTGAGGGGGGGGAGCTCGTATAAATGAGAAATTGCCGCGAAATTTCGACCAAGTATCAGCGAGAGATCAAATCATATCGCCCTTAGCGCCACTCGCTTGTCAAGACTACGAGCTTCTTCCCCGCCCACCTCCCCCGTCCCACCCGCTCGGTTTCCCAAGGTCGGCCAGGATCTGGGCAGGGCTCGAGCAAATGGGTCAGGAACAGCGGGCGACCGGAGAAACGAGTGGACTCGGAGCCCGAAATAGATCAAGGCCCCTAGAAGCCCGGACGAAAATAGCGTCTCGGGCGTCTTGGCGCCCGGTCACTAAGGTATCCCTGGACCCCCGCGGCTCAAGGCCGCCTGATTCCGCGAGACTCGGGTCGTACCCAGTAGACGACTCCCTCCTTGACGTCGCTCTCCCTGTCGGCCAGAGGATGCGTGTAGCAGCTGCCAGTGAAGGATCGACGGTACGAAGGCATTTTCCTTCTTCTTCTTCTTCTTCTTCTTCTTCTTCTCTCACGGTGCACTTCGCGCAACTTTCGCGACTCTGGCGCGTGAAAGCTCGGAGCGAGGCGGAGGAGGGGCTAAGCTCGGACGGGCCGCGATAACGTCTTCGTCGGGGGCACCACTGGGGCCTCCGGTCGCTGTCTCTCAACTGACTCGATCGATGCACGGACGGCCACTAAACACCACCGCCGCAACGTTCTCCAAGCGCCAAGGACCAGCCGCCCGATATCTAGCGACGCCTCCACTCCTCCTACGTTTTCCCGTTCGCTCTTGGCGTCTGGGGCGTCCCTCCCCCGTCCTCCTGTCACCTACCTCACCCCACCACAGCCGACTGCGCCGCCAAGCCGCATCCGCGGCCACCGCCACCGCCACCGCCCCCGCAAGCACCGGAACTCGATTCCTCGCGGCGCAGGTGGCGGTGTCCTTACCAAGCTCCACGGCATCTTTACGAAGGAGGAAGCGCCAAGGGGCGCCGATCGTTATTTAACGCACGATACTCGGGGGCACATTGCGACTCGATCGGCCACTATTGCTGCGGAAAAGTAGTCGGATTTATTGGTAAACAAGCCAACGCTCACAGATAATTTTGGAACGGCTTGAGATATCGTGTTACTTGGCCACGCGAATCCAACCCCTTACTCCCCAGCCTCATTCTCCTCTCTTTCGTTTTTCTAATTGTCAAAGGTCTTTAGCTTTACACGCCTACGCCTCTTACCTTGCGACCCCCCCCCCCCC